GCTGATCAGTAGGAATGGAGGAGAGAGAAGGAGAGGGTTAGTTTCTGAGTTTTGTGTTTTAAAAAATCTTTTTAATGTAGCTTTTCTTACAAATTTGTTAACGTCTAAAAATGCTTCAAATGGTTTAAAAGAATTAGTCGGAGCATATTTTAGCCCTTTACTTAAAACTGAAACCTGTGCTGCACTTAAAACTTTTTGTGATAAATTAAAAATACCGGCGTCTGACATTTTTGGGGCAATTATTGTCTTTCTCATCTCTCTTTTTTGTTGTCTTCTGCCACTTCGTTTGCCTCTGGGCTTAGGTTTCTTTTCTTGGCCCTTGTTGGCTACGGTGTATTTACAAAAGTGTTCGAGTGAGTCTGAATCTCTAAAAAATGGTCATCATTTTCTACTTCAGAATCAATAGATAGTAATTGATATCTATTAGTGTGTGAGATGGGGGTCTCAGAGTGATTTTTGTAATAGTTAGTGGGTCTGTGGCTTTTTGGTGAGTGTTTGTAGGTATCGGGACTACGTGCATTGTAATAATTTGGTCGGGGATCTTGATATGTAGATGTGTTGTAAGAAGCTCTACGTGATTTATATAATGCTGGTTGGTGATATGAAGATGAGGGTGCATAATTGGAACTGAAATTTCTATAATGAGATTTAGGTTTATAAGGGGAATGGTGTAGAGTTTTGTGTGAGATAGAAAAGCGGTTTTTAGTGGTGTAGGAAGATCCATACCGTGTATTGTGTGTGGTTGGTCTCTGGTATTGATGTGAATCTGTTCTCTTATTTAAGGATGGATTTTCTGACGTGTATCTTTTATTAAGATGGTATGTCCTAACTTGTCGATTAGCATAATCTTGTTTGTCTCTTATATATTTCTTAACTTTAATATGTTTTGTATCTGTTTCTATTTTTTCGATTTTACTTTGAATCAGGACTGAATTCTGTTGATATACGTTGCTCTCTGTATAGGGCATGAGTTTTTCCCTAAGTTCGTTAATTTCCATATCTAAATTAGATAATTTTTTACTTTTTTTCTTAATTAGAGTATCCATGAGGCCGAATGTACAGGTTTCTAATTTACTATTCCACTCATTCATAAATTCTAGATCATCCTGATCTGAAGTGGGTAGTTTCATGAGTCTCAAGCCCCGAGGTGTTATGCGTTCATCAATGTATTTTTAAAATATTGCTTGAAATGCTCGTTATCGTTACCTATACGTGAATTTGTGACGAGTACTTGAAATGACCTAAGGAGCTATTTGTGTCTGTATTAACCGGCGGCTTTACTCAGGCTGATGCCCCCAATTTGCAGAGAATGGACGCAGGAGAAGGGAGGAGAGAAAGAGAAGAGAAACAACAAATAGGTAGCAGTCTGATTCGTTTTTTTTTATGTTTAAACTTATTAAATGTAGAAAGTTTGTGACTAAATTGTGCCTATATTAATACGATTTGGTGACTTGGCTCTAGTTCTGAATACTTATAACCTGCTGTTTAACTATGTTTATTAGTTTAGAGGAGTGAAGAAAGAAAGGAAGAAGGGGAAAAAAAAATCTTAAATGAAAGGGATTATTACTAACCGAACCGTACCTGTGTAACTCAGCATAATTGAAAGCAAAGTATTCCGCAAGTTTTTTATTCCTAGAAACGAAAGGAGAGTAATTTCACCAGCTAAACCTCATGACTTAATACGTTAGCAACAACTTGAAAGTAGATATACAGGTTTAAAAAACAAAAATGCAGAAAATAAACATGTTTGAGCCACATATCAATACTGCGTAAAATCTTAGATAGGCCCTTAAGAAAAAGAGATAGTCTTTTACTAATACACTAAACAATTGTTTGTTAAAAAGAAACAAAGAATCTAAATGTTTTTTGTGATCTTTATTTGCTATAACTCAATATTTTGTTGCTTTTAAAACAGTAGTTCCATGACTGTATCAGAGTTCCACACGTATTGTAAAATGAATGCAAATATGCTTGTAACTTGAGAACTGGTATATGTGAACTGTAGCTATTTAATACGAAAAGATTTAGCCGAACAGAGTACAGGTTTAAACGAATGACACATAAGAATAGAGCTGGTATTAGAATTAGATTGCCGAGGTGGATTTATCCGAACGCTTCCCGACTATTGAAATTGGTTTCTTACGAACGTTATCTTAGCCAGATGACTAATTGCACTAAAGGAAGTTTACACGAATGAGCCTATGTTCGTATTGAGAAGACTTACAGTTGAGGTAGAAACTGCCGACTGGGTCCCGTTCATGTGTTATACTCACGAATCTTCGCGTGGGAGTTCCTGACCATGGTTTAGGCGCGTCGCGGAAAATTACATCAGAGGTCTGCGTGAACCGGAAGCGAAGGCGGGAATTTTCGGAATCGACGAAGACAGGTAAGCAAGGGGTTTACTGGGTTATATAGGCCTTAAATCCCTCCCACAACTTCAGGCATACACCTATATATGTTACTTTGTAACAGTTGGCTGTGAGATGTTGCAGTAGTCCACGAATAATGATGTCACTGGCTGGCAATTTCCATTATACCACAGTTATGTGGCCAGTGCTTTGCCATTTGTGCGTAAAATGTTCGAATTGCTGAATTCCATTTTTATTCTAACACTTTGTTGTCTAGAGTCCAGTAACAACATACAACCCTTTCATTGAGGGTCCAAACTAGCCATCTTTGAATTTTATTTTCTCCCGTTAGGCAAATGCAGACTCAGAAAACAGATTCTGGTCTGGGTTATACTCAGTCACCATTCTAGCTACTTGTATGACATAAAAAAAATTCTATGTGGTTAGTGGGCTGTGCAGTATGTCTCGAATCAACATTACAGTGTGTTTATTATGTGAGAAATAGAATTGTTTAGCAAGAGCCAGACCTACCTATAATGGACCACTGAAGCACCCATACTACATCATCTCTGGGTGTCCTTCAGTTTAAATCTTGCAATGTAACACATTGCTATTTAGTAGATATGGCATTGCTTGCATTGCATGGTTAAATACGCCTCTAGTGGCTGTCTTCCTGAAAGCTATCAGGGGCCCATCCTCTGTGAGAACCGAGTCAAACTCTGTAATTACATCTAACCAATTGGAGTGCTGTGCTGGCCGCTCATAAGCTTTTTGTTCCCAATTTTCCTTTACGAGGATTGGATCGCCTTTTATAAACATTAACCTGACGTCTTAGGAGGCAGAACGAGCAGCTTCAGGGACTCAATTTTGGCGCGGAAATAAAATGTATTACATGAATACCCTTTATTCCAGTTTTTATTTAGATTTAGCTGGTTCTAAATAAAGATGGAGGCCACTAATGTTAGGCATGCCTAATACTACAGCGTATTTCTAACTCTATAGTGATCCTTTAAATAGATTGGATTTCTTTGTTGACCAGTTACATATTTATAATTAATTGATGCCCAATTCCCCTGACCTGTACAACATGCAGTAAACAGGATAACACAAGGCTCATGGCTTGTAGTATAGGACACAATAAATACAGAAAGACAATAATTATACTAAAGGCAATCCTGGAAAGAAACAAGGAAATAAGATTTCAAACCCTGATTAAAACTGTGATATTTCTTTTATCGTTCACTGACTCTGAACATCAATTTGCTTAATGGATTTTATACCAAATGCTGGTAAGTAGGGAAGATCATTGGTTTAATAGGAAGGCCAAACTATTTGATCCCATTCAGATCTAACCACTCAGCCAGGCTCATGATCCATGGGGCGTACCATACTGGCCATAGGGCTTCTTGTACACAAATTGCAGTTTTGGTATTTTTTTTGGGTAAAATAAAATTTCAAGTGTCTCCTCCAAGAAGCTAAACTGTAAAAAAACTAGTGTAAGCCTAATTCTTGAGATGAACACATCATGTGTCTTATTTTTAAGGGTAAATGTGTTTTTTCTTATTTTATTTATATGAATAATATTGTCATTTGAGTATGTAATTTCCATTGTTGTAGATGTGAATCATGTATGCAGACACGGCATATTGTTTGTTATGTGTGCATCTCGCTTTACTGTCATTTCACTAATTCTTTTAAACTTTGCTCCCACTACAGAATTTGACTACTTTTATTTTTTTGCTTAGCAACGTGCATTTTTTTTTCCCCAGCCATTAAATATATTTTTGTTGCTCATGCTGTCCTCATAGCATGGATTTTGACTGGGCTATATCAAGCTATTCTTCCCTTTCCAAACTTTGCACTTTGTAGCAGAGTGTTTGGAATCATCTCAAAGAACTGTAATGACATTCCAAGTCTAGAAAACAATTGTGAAGTTCTCAGCAACAAACATAAAAAAAAAACTAAACAAGTTAGTATTAGCACAGAAAAGAAATATGTAATGGTATTGTCAGGTAATGTCCCATTTTAGTCTGCCTAGAGGAAACTCTAAAATAAAATCACTTTGAAAAATGACTTGTTTCAATATGCAAAGATTAAATTTGTGCATCACTGAAATATGACTTGCAAGAACTGCTTGGATAAATAACTCTCAATACTCAGTAATATATATATGTATTGAATAAAGTAAGTTTTGCTACATGGCAAATTTCCCCAAGTAATACTGAAGTTTAATCTAAAATACTTACTATTAGTATGAGAAGATATGATAAAACACCCAGGGAGATATTGAGAGTTTAAAGACAAGGCTCCAAAGAGTTATACTCAATCAGCATTTATTCTATTGATTACCACATTGTGAAAACATAAAAAAAAACATAAAACTTTGCAAAATACCTTTGCCTTGTGACCACACCACTGTACTTACCTCCCACTGTCTTACGCCTACATTGAAAACACAAGAAGACAGTTGTGGGTGATAGTGACCACTATTTTATTTCTAATATTTTACATACATTAAAAAGTTCTTAGTATTACCAGCAAATGTTTAATGTGTTCCAGACCACCTAGAAAATGTGGACTAAGACCTTGATCTAAAAAGCTTTCCAAATGATTCAATACCGTTAGAAAAAATCTCCAACTGAAAGATCTACAAAAAGTCTCCCCTCACAGACTAAAAATGCATTTAGTATATATAAATACTTAATATATACAAACTAAAGTATTTATATATACTAAATGCATAAATGCCATTTTAGTCCGTGTGGGGAGACTGTGTTTAACACAGCCTGCAATCTGCCAGGCTCCCACAGTCACTTACCACCTCTCACGCTGTCACACTTACCCATTATGTCGCTGTCAGATGACATCAGAGAGATGGTGCGCTGATGGGGGGAGGGGGGAAATCGGGGACGGAGCGGCATTTCATCCTTGCTCCATGCAGCACAATGTCTTTGGCCAACCCTGCATTCGGCCCATGGTTAAACTTCTTCACTGTGTTAACTTCTACCACTTCAGCTGGAAGGCTATTCCATGCATTCACTACCCTCTTAGTAAAGTAATATTTCCTGATATTATTTTTAAACCTTTGTCCCTCTAATTTAAGACTATGTCCTCTTGTTGTGGTAGTTTTTCTTCTTTTAAATATAGTCTCCTCCTTTACTGTGTTGATTCCCTTTATGTATTTAAATGTTTCTATCATATCCCCCCTGTCTCGTCTTTCCTCTAAGCTATACATGTTAAGAACCTTTAACCTTTCATGGTACATTTTATCCTGCAATCCATGAACCAGTTTAGTAGCCCTTCTCTAAACTCTCTTCAAAGTATCAATATCCTTGTGGATTTAGGAGTTAAATCACTTTATTTATGAAGCCCTAACCACATCACGCCTGCCTTAAACTCACAAAGCCTACATGAAAAAATGGTTTTGTTTTCAATCAGATCTTACAGCACAGTGTGTTTACTTTAGACGTTCTTATTTCCTGGTCTGTTAATGGAACATTAACCACACACAGGAGGCTGTTGCAGATTGTTTTCAGAGTAGGAAATAAAAGTATAAATTAATCATGCTGTGCAAGAAGGGAAGTTTAAAAATTAGATCTCTCTCCACAGGAAATGTGGTGGGAGGCTGTGTGGGTCACATGCAGGGGAGGTGACAGAGAATTGACTGCACTGGCATCATCTAAACCACAATCACTTCATTATGTTAAAGTTGTTTTGGTACTTAGAGTACCCCTGTGGTTAAAATAATAAGATATTCTAAAAGTGTTAAAGTTGAATTTAGATTGTCTTTTTTCCATATTGGTATTGGTTTCCTGTTATACATGCTAGCATACTGTTAACAAAAGCAGAGATGAACAAATTATGTTTGTACATTTTCTTGTGTGGCTACAAATATAATACCCTTGTATTTAATTGTTGAATATACTGGATTTGGGTGTGTTGGTGTTTTGAAATAACACAGTTCCGGATTTATGAAAGGGAAATATATTTTGAAGGCATCATTACGTTGTTTTTACCCCCCTTTGCGACCATATATGGTTTAGTTCAATTAGATACTTGACAATGTCATTGCTGTTTTATTGCAAGAGATAAAATTAAACATGTTTTAGACATATAAAGTGTTTCTATAAATATCCAATGGATGAATAAAGGGATCTGGCATTATGAAAAGAGCAATGTTTCTATATTCTTTAAACAGAAACATATTTTACAGAGAACCACAAAGTAAATAGAGGGTTATAAAGCCTTGCAAACTTTGATATTTAATAATTCAAATATAAATGAGTATATAAATAGTTAGGGTCCAGAAGCCAACTCCTGATGGTCACAACTGTGGCATAGAAAGACTCGAACGTGCAAATCTGGTTTGCCAGGATAGTGGTTGTGATGATGTCCGTACTCCTACCTCTGATGCTCGCCGTCAAGATTTCTCAAGGGCTGCACGTTCCTGTGGAACTCGCTTTCCTCCTCCGTTAGATGCTCACCCAGTCTCCACTCCTTCAAAAAATCGTTAAAAACCCACTTCTTCATAAAAGTGTATCAATTAAACTGTTAATAGCTCCTGACTGATTCCTCTTCTGCAACTGTCACTAGTGTAATACTATCCTTACCTTTTTGTGTCATTTTACCCCACTCCCAAGCATGTAAGCTCATTGAGCAAGGCCCTCAACCCCTCTGTTCCTGTGTGTCCAACTTGTCTGGTTACAACTACATGTCTGTTCGTCCACCCATTGTAAAGCGCTGCGGAATTTGACGGCGCACTATAAATATCATAATAATAATAATAATAATAATAATGAGTTAGAAAACAAAATACTTTAGTTTCCAAAGGCCAACCAGTGAGCTTTAAAACTGAAAGCATCCAAATACAATGTCATGTTAGATGTTCTTTATGAAGAATCAAGATCACAATGTGAAAGTATTCAATGAATACCTTGACCAAAACATTTGGGATAAGGCATCTACCTCTATAATGTTTTCAAATTTGAAAGATAGAAACATAGAAACATAGAATGTGACGCAGATAAGAACCATTCGGCCCATCTAGTCTGCCCAATTTTCTAAATACTTTCATTAGTCCCTGGCCTTATCTTATAGTTCGAATAGCCATATGCATATCCCATGCATGCTTAAACTCCTTTACTGTGTTAACTTCTACCACTTCAGCTGGAAGGCTATTCCATGCATCCACTACCATCTCAGTAAAGTAATAGTTCCGGATATTATTTTTAAACCTTTGCCCCTCTAATTTAAGACTATGTCCTCTTGTTCTGGTAGTTTTTCTTCTTTTAAATATAGTCTCCTCCTTTACTATGTTGATTCCCTTTATGTATTTAAATGTTTCTTTCATATCCCCCCTGTCTGGTCTTTCCTCCAAACTATACATGTTAAGATCCTTTAACCTTTCCTTGTAAGTTTTATCTTGCAATCCATGAACCAGTTTAGTAGCCCTTCTCTGAACTCTCTCTAAAGTATCAATATCCTTCTGAAGATACGGTCTCCAGTACTGCGTACAATACTCCAAGTGAGATCCCCTGACAAAATCAAGAAACACAACTGTAGCGGACCCCGGGTAACCCGACCGAGTACCTTTGCTGTTACCTTCCTTCAGCCACTCAGAAACCTCTTTAGAGTGTAAAGAGAACCATTTCCCCACAGTAATTGGACAACAGACAGTCCTGGAGGTACAACACAATTTTATTGAGCCACACTTTGCTTTTATGCATGTCAAAGTAGCTAGTGCCCAAAAGGTGTCTCCACCAACTTCAGGCGTCCCCACCATGCAACCTTCCCTGACCACTCCCCGTTCGCAAGGTTCCAGTGCTGAAACCTGCAAGGGAAGTGTCTCCTTTCAGGGTATGAATGCTCCCCCTGGTTGGCTTCTGTCTATACGAAAGGGCGGCCACCCAGGGGAGCATTCATTAATTACTTCCCTTGCGGTTTTACACTATGTTGCCAGTGCGAACGTTGCAGTTTCACACGTTGCAAATGCAAACGTTCTAAATAATTGGTGGGAACGTTCTGATAGGGCACCGGGGAGGTCCTCGTTCAGGAGATGAACGAGTTCGGAAACAATCCACGAATGCTCCCCCTGGCGGGCGTTTGTCTGTATGAAATAGCGGCCCCCCAGGGGAGCCCTCATTAATTGTTTCCCTTGCGGTATCGCACCAATGATCGAGGTGAGAATGTTCTCTTTGAACATTCTAACTCGCGTTCTAAATGGGATATGGGGGTGGTCCCCGTTCGGGAGACGATTGAGCTCTCTCGAACAGGAAATGAGGCACAGTATATGAAAAATACAGGGGAACACAAACAATATGGAAGGAACTCCATGAATAGGCAGTGGTTCTGCCACAAAAACAAAAGTATACTTTGATTAAAGGCCACGAGTAACTGGCAAAGGATATTCAATAAATTCCAAAGTGTAGCACAGCTTGGCTATTTTAGTATCCATTTTACATACAGTAGTGATGGTGCACAACAATAAAAATAGCATTCACTGTGGACCTCTTATAGAGAAACAATATGCATCCGTGTTATTGATCAAGGTGCATACTAGGTGTATTAATATTAATCTAAAAAATAGTGATAGCGCTATACAAAATCCCACCGTCTTATATTGGGCGTCCCACAAATATTCTTGGAAAGAAAAACAATAAACTTATGTTCTTAGGTTCTTATGGTGATGGAAGGGTTAATCCAAGTGAAATCCACTGTTATTATGGATACAATGTATGCAGCAACGAAAGAGTACCGGTTGTCCTGCTGAATCTTTCGGTCAGGCTGCAATGTCTCTGCCTTGTAGTTCACTGCCTGCCTTTGCAAGACGCCAGGTATCAGGAACGGTATATGCAGTCTCCCTCTCTTCACCCTTACAGAAGCTGTCAGCCGTTAGAACTTCAACGCGTTTCGCCCTCTAATCGCGGGCTTTTTCAAGATTGATTGATCTTGAAAAAGAAAGAAAGCATATATTTACCAACTTTGACTGTGGACATTTGCAAGGTTTTTAGGAACCAACAGATAAGTTATTTATACAAGAGGTTAAAAGTTTATTGTTTTTCTTTCCAAGAATATTTGTGGAACACCCAATATAAGACGGTGGGCTTTTCATGTATAGTGCTAACACTATTTTTTAGATCATTGTACCAGTGGAATTAGGAAGTTTCAAATGTGTTCTAGCTGCTTTTATTACTTGATATAATTTACTATATTGTTTTTTATACTTTTTATAGTTTGCGCTCTCTTATTTTTATATATTGTGTATTAATATTAATAACTGGTGAAAAACAGTGATTGTGACCAAACAGATATAATGAGTAAATATACTTGCAACAGTAATCACTCTGATTTAAAGTTGGAGTGGTAAAAGCACCACTTGTGGCTATGGCACTCAGGGGGGATCAGCCCCTAGAGTGAGTAGGATCCGTGGGAAAAACATTTGCAACCCGGATGACAGGTAAGTGTTCTTTATTTGACAAGAGTTAAAAACAAAGATGCCTCAGGAAACCGACTAATCCGTGGGAACTTACCTTTCGGTTTGGAGGCTAAATCCGAAGGACTTTTACACTGTGTATGTGCATTGAACTTACCAAGAACTTTACACAGCATCTTTGTTTTAAACTCTTGTCAAATAAAGAACACTTACCTGTCATCCGGGTTGCATGTGTTTTTCCCACGGATCCTACTCACTCTAGGGGCTGATCCTCCCAGAGTGCCATAGCCACCAGCGGTGCTTTGACCACTCTAACTTTAAATCAGAGTAATTACTGTTGCAA